TCCTAGCTGGCCCAGTGCTTCAAGGGTGGGTGGCCATGGAGCTTGTGGAGATCTCAGATATGCCACTGCAGCCAGGCAGGGGAGGTGGCCCATGGGAAGTGCCCAGGGGATCTTTCAAATACACTGGGAGGACTGAGACTCAAAAGGAAAGAGGCACAGCTACCCTAGTGCTGGCATGCCGGTGACACTTAACCAGTGTTGGGAACCTGTGCTTGCCCCTGAAACAGCAAGGTGCTAAGACAGAACTCCACATGGCAGGTCTCTGGCTTGGAGGACCTGAAGTCCTGAGTCTCAGCTCCTCAGGCTTCTTGGCTTCTGTGATCTCCCGTCACCTGCCCTGGCCTCACCACTTCCTACACCTTCACAGCCAGATGGGGCTCCTGGGTCTGGAATTGGATGGCTGTAACTAAAGCTTGTGCCTCCCAGGGTTTCCAGCTGGTGAGGACTCAAGTGCAGGCTGTCTGTCACAGCTCCTGCCTGCCAGGCCTGGGCAGTGTGCAAGAGAAGGACTCAATTGTGCAGGACTCACCATGTACGAAGGAGATCCCAGGTGCTCCACAATCCCTGGGGGCCTATGCCTGACCTCCACTCCCTATCACAGGGCCTCCAGGCTTCCCAGGACCAAGGCTAGATCTGAACCATAGTGCCCGTTTATGGCCAAGGTCCCCAGTGCCCAGAAGCCATGCTGTGGGTGGAGCTATGCCCCCAAAACAGTATGCTGCTGTCCTCACCCCTGGCACCCCGACTGTGACCATGTTGGAGCCAGGGGCTGCACAGGGTAACCATGCAAGATGAGGCTGTGCTCATCCGGGAGGGACAGGGGACAGGTCAGGATGACAGGTGAAGGGACAGAAGACAAATAGGTCAGTGTGGCTACAGCCCCATATTCTACAAGACACTTGGGCAGGCCTGCTGGGCTGGGGCTGGGCTGGAGGCAGGTAGCTCGGTTACCTGCCCTCAAACCAGGACAGGAGGACCAGCGAACAAGCAGTACTGTGTGCCTTCCCGCAAGGCGGCCAGTGGTGCCATGGAGGTGAAGGTCTGCACAGAGCTCCGGGAGAAGCTGAACCACCTGCCTTGCTCAGTGGCAAAACCTGGCTGTCACTGCTCTTGTTCAACGAGGGTCTAGAAGTGACGGCAGCACAGTAAGCATGAGTAACATCATGTACAGATCTGGTTTTAAAGCTATTTTCCTTGGCCTGCCGGCCAAGTCCAGGGCTGGCTCAGGAAAACACAAGTTCAGCTAGGAGGAAGGAAGGTCCGATGAATGATAGGACACGCCAGGGAGACCCGGGGCAGCTCACAGTGGCTCCCACAGACCAAAGCTGGAAGGAGTTAGGTATTAAAAGCAAACAGTGATGGTAGAGGAATATAACCTACAAGTTCAATTAAAATAATAAGTAAGATTTAAGAATAAAAAGTAGAAATTCAAGAGTCTTTTAGGAAAGGAACGGGACAGAAGCTCCTTTTAAAAAGAAAAATGCAAATCAATAAAAAGAAGAAAGATGGGATTGGAAAGGAATTAGTGAATGAGGATATTACACGCTCTCTATAAATATTACTTAGTAATTATAAGGGGGGAACAGTAACTCTACAGAGGAGAAAAGGGGCAGATCTTGACCAAGTGACAGAAGATGACCGGTACTGCGTAAGCCAGGATCAAGTGCCTCTGGATCTGACACCAAGAGGACTGGGGGTAGTGCTGCAGGATTCCCACCTCAGGGCACAGCCTGGACCTGACTGTGAACTTGAGGAATCACCAGACAGACCCAGACTGAGGGCCGTTCACTCAGCAGAGCAACTGGCCTGTGCCCCAGCACTACAAAAGACAAGCGAGATTGCAAGGGCTCCAGGTGGACGTGACTAAGGAGACGTGAGCAGCGAGCACACAGTGTGACGGGACAGGGTGGGAGCTGAGCCTGAGAGATAAGCTGCCAGCATAGGGCAGGAAAGCCTGGGCACAGTGTGGGTGACCAGTATTGTGTCAACATTACAGTTCTGGATTTTGATAAATACACTGTGGTTAGCAGACAGAATGCCCTTGTCTTTAGGGAACACACACAGAAGAATGGAGCAAAGGACACAGGATTCCACCTACACTGGCTGGGTTATGAAAGACTGCATGCAGACATGTATGGATGTGGACAGACAGACAGATAGGTAGATGATGATACAGCTAGACACACAGGTACTTAGGGAGATACATAGGTCAGTGGGTGTGTGGACGAAGGAATGGAGGGAGGGATGGATGCAAATATAGAAGGGAGGAGGACAATAAAAACAAATGCATCTGGGAAAAGGGTGCACAGAATTCTTTGCAACTGTCTTCTAAGTTAGAAATTCTATAAAATTAAAACATAACCCCACACCTGGAATAAGGAGAAAAATATCCAGTTTTATCCAGTTCCTGGCACAGACATCCTAAAATCCTGAATGGCTAGTTTGTCACTCACATCTGTAATGAGCCCTTTAGATAGCACCTGAGTTTATGCTAATGAGGTGTCTTGGGCTGGGGTCCCTGATGGCCTCAGGATAGAGCTGGTCACCAGAAGGACAGGAGCACTATGGGGTCCTGGAGGTAAAACTCTGTGAAATGCTTGGACAAGATCTGGAGATTGTGGGTTGGTCAACTCATGCAGAGGCTGAAGTGTGGTCGCCCCTGATCTGTATACCTCACTCTCTCCATCTTCCCCTTTGCTGTTCCTGAGCTGTGTATGTCCTGTACAGGAAACTGGTGACTGTAATAAAGAACCTTCCTGAGGTCTGTGAGCCATTCCACAAACGACCATATCTGAAGAGGGGACTCCCAGTTTACAGCTTGCTCAGTCAGAAGTGAAGGTGGAGACCTGGGCTTGGGAGTGGTCTGAGTGGGGGCTGGGCTTTAGGTCTGTACCCTCGACCTGTTACTCTTCCTGAAAGCTGCTCATGAGTGTCAGAACTGACTTGAGTTTCAGGATGCACAGCTGGGAGCAGAGAATGGCTTCTGGTGTGGAGAAAATGCCACCCCTCAAACAAAGCTGCTGTGGACAGTCAGGTCCCTCCAGCACCGCCTGGAGACTGGAACCTGCCCACCGCTTGGGAAAACCGTGTCACAGCCCACTCCAGCTGTACTAAACCCAGCAGTTCCGATCCTCAGGATGGACCCAGCAGAGAAGGGAAGATGGTTCACCAGGGACATTCAGAGCAAGAGCCACAGGAGCCCCATGCTGCAAATGACCCCACGCCCATCCAGAGCAGCACGGAGAAGTCAGCTGTGCTATGTTGACACCCCGTGGAATCCTGCATCTGCCCCCACACAGCCACAAGGGTGACTCTTACAGAAGTATGTTGGGCTAAAGAAGCACTTAATAAGCGGCCATTGTGTCAGGCTCAGAGGGTGGGAAGGACGGAACATTCCAGGCCTCTGTGCGGGGAGTCTGTGGAATAACATGGGGGCTGGATGGAGAGGCTATAAGCTGGAGGCCCAGGGGCTGCCAGGCCATGGCATGTTGACCCCCCCCAGGGCAGGGCCTTCTGCGAATTTTCGCCTGTGCCCTGGTCCCAGAGGAGTGGGTGCTCCTCTGTCAACATGGGCAGCCGGTAATGAGCTTGTGGGAGTGAATCAGCCAGGCCTGTTTCAGCCAAATCTAGATATGGCGCCAGGTCACCAGTCCCACCTCTGTGAAGGAACTCACCGAGCTGGCCAGAGCTGAGAGAACAGAGCCTCACCTCTTCCCCAAGCCTGTCTCCTCCCCTGGCCCCAGGGAACCAGAGTCCTTGAAGTCATTTAGAGGCCTCAGCAAGCCTGATTCCTTATTCTCTTTGCAACCTAGCCGCCAGGAAGGAGGGTGGAGGTGTCAGGCTGCCTTCTGCAAGAGGCTGTTGCAAGGCAGCACTCCACATATCTGGGAAGCAGGTTCCTCTGGCACCCAGAGCCCAGGGACCTGAGCCATGCCGCCCATATGTGGGGCGATACCACCAAGGCATGCAGAGGGCCAGTGGAGCCCCTACCATTGGGCCCCTCAGCTGTCCATTCCCTGGGAGTGTCCAGTGGAGGTAGTAAACTCTGTGGCAATCAGGCACAGGCGAGGCTGGCTCCATGGAATGAACAGGACGAGGCTCAAAACACCTGTGTGTGTTTTCCCTGTGCCTACGCACTTGCCTAACAGCGATTTCAAAACTAAGGAATTAAAAGTAAGGATAACATATGACACAAGCATAAAACAAACCCTCTTGGGCATGTGTACCGGCAGCAAAAATTTAATGCATGTCTACTGGGGACCAGCCCATACTTGGCCTTTGATAGAAGTTTCCAGAATGAAGAAGCTGACCAGGTCCAGAGCTCAGCGTGCAGCAGTCCTCATAAGGACACTGTGAGGTCAAGGGTCCACTCATTTCACAGACAAAGACAAGGCTCAGCCTGACCCCTGAACAGTGAAACCACTGGGTCCAATACGCAGGAGCAGCACCCACAGCGGGCACACAGCGGTGAGGCCATGTTAGGAACCGGCTGTTTTGGACATTCTCTCCATCCTCGGGGAAACACAGGGTGGAATGCCTCTCAGTACCTCCAAAAACAGGGCAGAATATTCTCCCTGGAGTCCCATTCTCAGAGGGGTCTGGCCCACACAAGCACGTCTGGAAAGGACTGGGCAGTGCGAGATGGGAAAGACATCGCAGGAGCTGAGAGAGCCCATGGAGGATGAGCCAGGCCAGGGGCCAGGAGGGCTTTCTGGAAAGGGGCCTGGGAGCTGAGTTTCATTCAGATACAAGCTAGGCTTACAAAGAAGAGTTTCTTCAGGACAGGAGGAAGAGGAACAGTGTTCTGAGTAGAGGGCACTGCAGAGCAAACGCAGAGGCAGAAGCCAGGGAGGCTGCTGTAGGGCACCTGGGGTGGGGCTCTGAGTCAGTATGGGGAGTGTCAGGAGGCGGGCACCCTGCTGCTTCTGCTGGGGGGCCAGGCAGGAGAGCTAGGCTTATAGCAGCAGCCAGCCAGCCAGAAGCACTGGAAACACAAGTTAGCACACAGCATGCTGTGTGCCCTGATTCTCCTACCCAGCCTTCTGGGGGCCACGGCCAGCCCTGTCTCGGGCCCCCAGGAGTGTGCCAAGGGCTCCGAGGTGTGGTGCCAGGACCTGCAGGCAGCTGTAAGGTGCGGGGCTGTGGAGCACTGCCAAAGGGCCGTCTGGAGCAAGCCCACTGCCAGGTCACTGCACTGTGCCATGTGCCAGGATGTGATGGCCGCTGCTGGGAACGGGCTGAACCCTGATGCCACAGACTCTGACATCCTAGCATCAGTGACGAAAACCTGTGAATGGCTTCCTGGCCAGGAGTCTTCAGCCAGATGCAAGTGGATGGTGCAGACCCACAGCCTGGTCGTCCTAAGCATGCTTCGCGGAGCCCAAGGCAGCACCCCGGCACTGGTGTGCACCTCGCTCACACTCTGTGAGACACTACAGAAGAATCTGGCCGCCCCCGGGGGACCCCTGTCCCAGGAATTTGCATCTGAGGCAGTAGCTCCATTTATGACCAATGGAGCCCTCAGTTTCCATCCTCCACAGATGCCTGGGGGTGCTGTGTGCCAAGACTGTATCCAGCTGATCTCGCAGCTCCACAGTGCTCTGAGGTCCAACTTGACCTTGGCCGAGGTGAACGTCCAGGAGCAGTGTGAGTCCCTGGGGCCTGGCCTGACTGTCCTCTGTAAGAACTACATCCACCAGCTTCTAACCCCGGCAGAGCAAACACTGCAGCTTCTCCCCCCGCAGGAGGTCTGTGGGAAGGGGGGCTTCTGTGAGGAGCAGAAGGGACCTGCCCACTGGTTGGCTCAAGTGGCTGCTGTGGAGGGGGTCCCCTCCCTGGAGTTGGGGCTGCCGAGGAAGAGCGAGATCCAGATGCAGTCCGGCCTGACCTGTGAGGTGTGCCTGGATGTGGTCCAGGAGCTGGACCGGTGGCTCATGGCCAACAGCACCGAGGTCATCATCAGCCACGCTCTGGAGCGTGTGTGTTCAATAATGCCTGCTTCTCTGGTCCAGAAGTGCATCACCTTGGTGGATACCTACAGCCCCTCTTTGGTGGAGCTGGTTTCCAGAGTCACTCCAGAAAAAGTGTGCACGACCATTCGGCTCTGTAGCAGGCGAAGGCAAGCCCGGTCCTTGCTGAAGGTCCCTGCCACTGTGCCGTCCCCGCTGCAGGATGAGGAGAACCAGGGTACCTTCTGCAGTGGCTGCAAGAGGCTGCTTGGATTGTCTGCCCAGAACCTGGAGCGCAAGAGCACGAGGCGGGACATCCTGATGGCTTTCAAGGGTGGCTGCAGCATCTTGCCGTTACCATACGTGACACAATGTAACCACTTCGTCACCCAGTACCAGCCTGTGCTCATTGAGAGCCTCAAGGTCATGATGGACCCCACAGCGGTGTGCAAGAAGATGGGGGCCTGCCACGGCCCCAGAACCCCACTGCTGGGCACCGACCAGTGCATCCTGGGCCCCAGCTTCTGGTGCAAGAGCCAGGAGGCTGCCAAGCTGTGTGACGCCCTGCAGCACTGCCAGCGCTTTGTGTGGAAAGAGACACACACGTCCTCCCCCTCTGGGGAGCATCCGTGACCCTGGCCGCCACAGCCCAGAGCCTGCAAGGGCTGGCCGCACCCAGGGCACTCCTACATTCCACAGGGACCCTATGAGGTGGGTGCTGTCCCCATCCCCATGACACAAATGAGAAACTGAGGCTCTTGAGAAGGGAGGCTGGGAAGGAGCAGAGCTGGTTTTCAAAGCCAGGTGCCTCTGACCCAAAGAGCACACACTGTCTCCACATCGCCGCTGTGCAGCTTGGCCCTCGCAGATGTCTCTAAGGGACTGGAAAAAACAGAAGTGTACCCCCCTGCCACCCGCCAAGCCAGGTCCACCCCTCAGGCACCCTGCTACGAAGCTACCTAGGGCCTGGGGGAGCCAGGCCATGCTGAATGCCCCAACTGTGAGCCATGGCAGGAGCAGAGGGGAGGGTGAAGAGGCGGTCATTAAACAGGCCCATCGCTCTTATCAACAGCTTGGCATTGGAGGCTGGGTCTCTCCCACAGCCACCTTTGCTCATCCAGGTCACAGCTCAACTTGTGGCTCCAAAGACATAGATGTCTGGACTTTTCTGGGGAGGAGTCTAGGCTTTGGCCACCGTCCACTGGGCTTCCTGCAGTTCAGAGCTGTCCTTCCAATAGGTCCACCACCAGGACCCTGTTCTCTCAGATTCTTGACCACCCTGTCCTGGGCAGATGTCTTGGGAGAGAAAATCATGCTAAGCAAAGCCTCAGGAACTGCTCTGAGGGGTCTGGAGTGGCTGTGGGTGTGTGAAGCAGCAGGGGTGAACCAGAGGCCTGCGTGGTGAGTGGCCTCCTGTGGGAGGCTTGGCTTCCTGATCTATAGGACAGAGCGCTCATGCCTGCCTCATAGGGATGTTGAGACAATTCAAGGAGATGTCCTCAAGCTCCTTCCCCCAGAGACCAGTGCCCATTGGTCTGCTGGGACCAGCAAAGTCCATCTTGGGGGCCAGTGGGGTGCCCAGGGACTCTGGCTATACATGTGTTGCATAAACCAAAAACATTCTCCAAATGGTGTTTGCTGTTTTTATTCTCAAGGAAGTCCCGAGGGCTGCAACACCCCCTCCTCCCAGCCTCCCACAGGTATCCCTTTGGCATTGAGGACATCAACCTGCCCCAGGCCCCCAGTCTCCCTCTCTTACTGTGTGATCTCACAGCACCCTGTGAACCCCTCAGGAACAGCCCCTGGGCTGGCACTTGCCTTGCCTTGAAGCCTAGCACAGGGCCTGTATGCAGTAGGTGCTCAAATATCTGTGGGACACATACACAAGTCCCTGTGCAGACACTGCCATTTCCTGGGTCAGCAAGGCCCATCCAGATTAACTCCCTTCTCAAACAAGGGGCAAGGGGGCGGGGGGAGCAGCCTGACATGGCATGAGTGGTGCAGTCTCTTGAAAGGCCACCCAAGTTCCTAGGCACCCATTTTCCACACCTAGCCAGATTCCTCCATCTGGCCAGGCCTGGGCCCACTGGTCAGTCCTGCACAAGATGAGAAGGTGAGAGGCAGTGTCCACACTGCCCCTGGGTGTCCCAGGCCCCAGTGTGGCCATGGGACAACAGCTCATTGTCAGATTTCAAATTGCAGATGCCTTGAGTTTGCTGGACTCACTGCCTGGCTCAAGTCTTGCCCCAAAGCCCAACCTCATCTCCCTACAGGCTCTCTGTCTGCTGGTGTGTGTCCCCACCAGACATGACCCATGGGACAGAATAAAGCTACAACCCCCCTGTGGCCTGGTAGTGCTCCAGGGGAACACTTGCTGAGTTGTATGAAACCTGTCACAGCTTCCCTGACCTGATGCTTCTCTGGAGACCTCTCAGGCCATATGAGGCCAGTCTGCCAGGAGAGGACAAGTGTCATGTCTGCCAGTAGCCCATTCATTCAGAGCTGACATAGGATTTCTGGCGCTATCCCTGAGTTCATCACCTTCCTTTGACCCAAATATAGGGCAGGAGAGAGTCAAGGTGGGGTCACTGTCTGCACCTTCCTCCTACTACCCCCTCCAAGGCCTGACACCTGCTGTTCCCACAGACCCACTGGCTGAATATATCTCCACACGTCCATTGTCCACGAGACTGTCCTGGAGCACACATGGCAATGACCCTACCAGGGCTGGTGGGGCACCTGGTTTGTGAGCACTGCACAGGCCCCCAGTCCCAGGCACGGAAGGCCCCACCTGACCCCTGACTCTCCAGTGTCTTCACTCGTCCCACACAAAGTCATGGAGGCCTAAGGCAGGCTACTGCCCATCTCCAGGTGCCCACACTGGGCATCAAGCCAGTACACGGCAAAGCTCAACGAATGTGTATGCAGGATGGTGGCCTTCAGGGCTAACAGCAGAGCAGCAGGAGGAATGAAGGAGGGGTCCCTGGGGAGACTGCAGCAGCAGCCATTGGGGAGTCCATCCAGTGGCCTCCATGTCTGCTTTCTGAGAGGCTGGGAAGGGCTGCTCGGGAGACAGACATGGGCCAGCAGAACAACCCTGTACTCTGCCCACTATTAGAGGGAACACCAGCCCAGAAGAGCAGACAGCCCCACCTCACCCAGGAGGGTAGGAGACCCACCCCAGCAAGATGCAGAGCACGGAACTCCCTGAGGTGGTGAGCACAATGCCCTGCTCGAGGTGGGTGAGAAGGCTTCTGCTAGGACTGCCCAGGTGGGCTGGTGTCCATCCCTTCTGCCAGACACATCGTGGGCGTCTTTCAGGAGCCACTACTAGGCAGAGGGCTGGGCAGCTCCAGGAAACCTGCCAGAGGTGACCTCTTACTTCCTCCCTGTATGAGGGTGGAGATGGGTTTGGCTATTCGTTGCTGTTTGCCCACGATTTTTTTTTTAAAGTGACAAGTTGGTAGAAACTTTGAGCCAGATGTAAGTGTGCCCAATGGCATGCCTTTTCTTCTTTTTCTGTTTCTGCAAAGAATTACATAAACTCTGAGTTCTGTAAAATCTGGATGCGTGGTCCACATGGACATTCCCCCTCCACAGCAGGACCATGTGAGCCTAGGAGAGACACACACAGGGGACCCACACTGCCCATCCCTCCTCTTCCTTGCCTTCCTGTCTCCTCTGGGGGTGAAATCCCAGACATACCCCTTCCAGTGAGAAGCAAGCCTTGAAAACCCTTCCTAAGCATGCCCAGGGACAGCGTGCAAACCACAGGGACAAGAACAATGTCCACTGCTCATGAGAGAGCAGTGGCACTGAATATTGAGGACTATAGCCTAGCCAATGTTGCCCTGGGGTGGGACGATGGAGCTTAGCCTTGGCCAAGCTGCCTCAGAGTTCATTGCTTTCAAGCAATTGTCCCCGACACAACAGGCACAGAGTGTGTGAGTGAAGCATATCACTGCACACACACTCTCACACAGACACTGATGCACCCACATGGATCCATGTATTGCAGATAGTTTCATGCAAAGTTGGAAGTCACGGCTGCAAACCCCAGCTCTGCCACACCCAGAAAAGCTCCTATAGTCTCCTTCTGAGCCTTAGCTATAGTCTCCTTGTGAGCCTCAGTTTCCCTGTCTATAAAGTGGTCATGGCAACACAATCCCTGCCCAGCTGCATGGTTACAATGGAAGTGGTTGTGTAATGGAAGCACTTTGTCAGCCAGCACCTTGGCTCACATGGGTCATTGCAGAGGTGCTTCATGGAGGCTCTTTTGCCCTCCTCACAGTACCCATGACCCCATAAACTCTAAGGTGGATCCTGGTGAGAACCTACAGAGCCCTCACTCAACTAAGAGCCACAGGCTTTTACCACATCCTGGAGGATCTTTCTGAGTAGGCAAATCCCACCCTGGCACCCCTGCCCTAACCCCATTCCCTCCTCAACCCTTCCTTCCCATCTTACCTGGTCAGTCATCAAACCCAGGATCCAGGATGGTCCCTGGATCATGGGCAAACCTCCAGGTCCTCAGCCCCATCCCACCCTTCCTAACTAATGTCCCCTCTGTCCCAACTCAGTGCTCTCTCCCATCCTATTCCTGCTGAAGCTCAGAGAGAGGTGGAAACTAGGGGACCCAGACCCCAGACTTCAACACCTCTCTCCAAACACCTGCAGCCTAGAGAGGCTGGTATCCTGCTTAGGCCCACAGTGACATTCAGGTCCCAGGCCCATGCTTCTTATACTAAGGTCTGCTTCCAATGCAAGGGATGGGGGGGAACGTTGTGTTTAATTACTCATAGAGCCCCAGAAGCTGAGCCTTATCCATGTGAGCACCTGCTCTCCTTACCTAAGGACCCCCACACCGGGCCTCCTTCCCGTCACATTACTCTCCAGGACCCTGCTGCATCAGGACCCCCCTCAGGGTGTCTAGAACTCTCCCATGCCAGGCAAACCAGGGAGGCTATGGCTGAGGGTACACTAAGTGTTGGATGCTCATTTACACACAACCCACCAGGCCTAGGCAGGTTCTGCTGCCCTGGGATCCCTTCACCCCAAAACCTTCCTTGCCTTGAGGGCCCCAGATTCCACAGCCTCCCCAGGGAGGTGGTCCTCATAGCTCCATAACTGTCTCCTGCTGCTATCATGGATCAGGCCTGACTCAGTATCGCTGGACATGAAGGGGAGTGTTAGAAACCATGCAGCAGACAGGACTCAGGCTTGGCACATGGGTACCTCCAAGTCCCACTCTCATCTGCTGGCTGTGTGGCCTTGGTCAAATTACTGAGCTCTTAGCCTCAGTTTCCCCAGGGGTGAACATGGATGATAAAGGCACCCTCACAGAAGGCAGGGGATTCATGGAGGCAGCCATGTCAGAGTACAACTCACAGATGGCACACAAAGCTGCCGAAGACCCATGTGGTCCCTGAGCCAAGGTCTGTATCTGCCATGGCAGTGTGGATGCTGGAGGTCCAGCTCCAAGGAGGCTAAGGGGATGGGGATCCTGGAGCCACCTCACCAAGTGACTTCAGTGTCTGATTGGCCTACCACAACCTGCTGGCTGGATGACTATGTATGAGGTCACCCTAAAGATCCCCATAAACACCTGTCTTTTGAGTCCATAGAAAACTAGGAGGCAGAAGGTAGAATCCAGTAAGGCTCAGGACTGGGGCTTGTGGGGAGGCAACTTTTTGTGTCTCTCTCTCTGGATGAAAGGAGAGAGAGACAAAAGAATCTCCTTTTACTGTGACTGAAGTGTTTCCATATTGTCCCTGCAGGAAGTAGCATCTAACACTTTGAAATACCCATAAGCTGTCCT